CCAAATATTACCTTAGTTAAATAGTTAAATTTAACTAACATTTGTAATTTTACCATAATTAATTCCCTACTTATTACAAAATAACGTTAATTTAACCAGTTTTGGTACTTGGGATAACTTGATTAAAGAAAAAGTTATAATGTAATGATTGTAATAGGTATATAAAGTACTTATTGAGTGTGATTAATGCGATAAAAACTGTCGCAATTTTTTTAGATTTGCCATCAGGGTGCAGACGTCATGGGAAGCATTTCTGGCGTACGTCGGGTAACTTGATCCTTTAATGATGATTGCCCTTCTCCTCTCCCCCTCCCCTCGCTGCTCCTTGCTAGTCCTGGCAGTAAGGATGGCAAAATTTAGTTAGTCATGTATGCTTTGTGGATCTTGTTTATTAGATTTTAACTTGGCTTAATTCGATTGCAGCTGCAGAAAAGAGTTTTTGAAATTCGATACGGTTTCAAGGCAATCGAAATAATTCGATAAGAGTTTTTTAGTGCTCGTGCACCGAGTTATTTAATTATTATCGTCCCTGAAGAAATTATGGGAAAATCGATAAAAATTAAATAAATTTTTGTTTTTATAGTGGTTGCCATGAATTTTATATCACCAAAACTATAAAACCTAATATATCACTCTTATATACCCATTAAAGAGCCATTTGCAGGGGTTAATGAAGGTTATCGTTACCTTTGTTTAGTAACACTATAAAACCCAAGTTTTATAGTATCTAGTATCTAGATTACTTAAAGTTTTATTATTTAATTTTAAAACTCTTATACAAATTGTGGTAGCTGTCGTTACTACAAGTGCCGAAAATTCCTGAATCCGGAGCAGTTTTTGAGATATAGTCAATTCCATATTAAATGGAAAATTGACTATATCTCAAAAACTGTTCTACTTTTTTAACTTCTGATATTTTCGGATTCAGGGGACAATTTCACATAAGAATTGGCTTTTAAATTTTGGGATACCATGGTATTCCATGCATGGTTATTCATGGTACAAGTGAAAAGGCAGCCACTAATAACTGTTAAATTAGTCATTTTTGACTAATTCATTTTTGGAGAGTACATAATAACTTTTTTGATGTACTAAGAGAATAACGTAATAGAAAAATATAAATACCACAAATTTACGTAAAAATAACGCTATAATTACTAACTGTTTGCTCTACCTTTCTAAAACATTGACGTAATTTCTTTGTTTTTTTAATTTATATTTTACAAAATGGTACAAAGTTATAAAGGCCACATTAGAGTAAAATTAAAAAATATATCTTAAATTGTCAAAACTAATAATATTTTGCATTAAAACTCTTTATTGATAAAAATAGGCACGATACATCTTAAAAATTATATGCCCTCTAAATATTTTACGGTTTTAAGAAAAATTATTGCTTGGGTAAAAATTCAACAAACCTTAAAACCTAAAAAATGTTATAAAACCTTTTAAAAATCATTTGGTTTTAATAATTTTTTAAAAACTAAAACTTTCCTTATTATATTTTAGAAAAATACTTATGAAAAAATATTATATAAATGTTTAGATAAGTAATGGATGCCATTATGGCGACCTGAAAAAAATTTTCCCTTAAAGTTTTTTTTTTCACTTTAAGCTTATTTTTCCTTCTATAGTCAATATTAATAGTATTTATTACCACTAATAACCCTAAAAAACATCAGGCGAATAGGAATTATTTACGGTTAAAAAGCGGTCTTAATATCGTAAAATTATGACTTATGAGTAGGTAACATTTACCATTAAGTAAAAATTCTAAGCCCATTAGGTATTCTTTCAATTTGAAGGCTCTATATTAGTCTTTAAGGATAATCCAGTTACATATCCCTGATTACCTCGCAAATAATCGAAATTAAACCAACATTCAATAATTCGATTCTCTTATCCAGTGACTACTTATGGCCATAGGGGCGACACCAAATCAAAATAGGATAAGCACCCTTATTTAAACAATCGCGCATACTACGTAGTTACACGCTTGTTACATTCGAATAAACTCGGTGTAAGTAATAAACGCGCTGCCTTTGTTAGCGATAACAAGCCCACTGCTGATGTCGAGTTGGGGTAGCGAAAGTGTAGCACTATGTTGTTTTGATTTCAGGGGGCTGCTAATTACTTATTTGCCGGCGAAATCTATAAACGTACGCATTGTGGATGGCTAATAGGGGGTGTGACGGTGAAAATACGGCTCTATCGATGAATAAGTGCGATTTAACAAGGACGTTTATGTAGTTTAACTACTGGGAAGTCTGAACGCTTAAGATTAAAAAAGTGGCCAAAATTCATTTAAACAAAAACTAATAAAGATATCATTATAAAACTTTAACACTATATTTATGTGGTATTAATCTTGATTCTGTACAAGTTTTAATTCAATCGGATCAGTGGCGGCGATTTCATAAGGGTTTAAATTATTAAAAGTATACACTGAAAAAAAAATATTCTTGTATCAAATAAATTTATTTGATTCAAAACAATCTTTGTCTCATATATAACGAAGAAAATATAATCTTTAAAATATTAAAATATTTTCCTAATTCACGTTGATTTACTTCAAGAGTCTTTTCTTAATGTAAGAAAATTAAATTTTTTTAAATAAAACTTTGATTGTTTAAAAGCAAGAATATATAATTTTTGAAATAAGGCAGCAATATTTATAAATATAATAATAATATAATAATAATATAATAATAAGTATACTTAATTCAAGAAAATGTATTTTCCAACCAAATAATTGGTTGTTTTAAAGCAAGAATATGTTCTTTTAAAAATAAATTAATGGTATTCTTAAATAAAAAAGATACTTACTTAATTCAAGAATAAATTTTTCTTACTACCTCGGCCGAAAATACGTTGTTTCGTCCCCGATTCCACGGCAGAAAGTTTACGTTTGTTGCATTGGTCAAATTTACGTTTGATGCATTGGAATCGGGGACGAAACAACGTATTTTCGAGTATATTACACTACAAGGGCTACGAAGGCTTCGCTCGTGCCGCAAATGTCGGGGCAGGCATCAATATGTTTCGATATACACATTTAATTTTTTCCCGTATTTTCGGCCGGGTTGGGTTGGATTGTATTTTCAGCCGAGGTAGTAAAAAAAAATAGTATACACTACACGGGCCAAAAGTGTGAGAGCCCTGAACTGCGCGCCATGATCATGGCGCGCAGTGCAGGAATCTCACACTTTCTGCCCTTGTAGTGTAATATAGTATTTTAAATACAAAAACATTTGATAATGAAATAAGACAATAATTTTCTTAAATCAAGATGTTTTCTAAGCCAATATTTTTTTTTATTAATAGATTCAAGATTTTAACTTTTATTTCATTGATTACAAAATAATATTTATTTTAAAACAATGCAAGAAGTATCGTTAAAAATAAAATGTATCTATCTTAATTTTAAGCTACTTTTAGCAATGTTTCAAAAAATCTATAATTTTGTATTTAAAATCAATAAAATTTTAAATATTAAAAAACTATTTATTTTAATAATAAAAACATCTTTCCATTTAGGAATATTACTGCAAAAGAAATCAAATTTAAAATAAATATACGTTTAACCACTTGAAGGGGACTGGAGTAATTTTAAATATTCTGTAATTTTTTAAGGATTGTTGTCTAATCTTAAACAAAATTTAAATACTTACGGATTATTCAAAATTGAGCCAAACTTACTGAAGGGCCAAAGTATTCGTTGTATTGTTTCTAGGTGGTGCAGTAAGCAAAAAAATTTAGGTTAGAAAATTAAAAACAAACGTTGAACAAACACATTTATTTTGTTTTTAATACAAGAATTTTAAATAATTTGTAATATTTTAGGCATACCTATAGGTATAGTAGAAAATAAATTAAAAATTTACTTCTAAAACAAAATCTTTTTAAAGGTCATTAAATAAATTAAGTTTATTAACTTAAAATTATATAAACAATAAACCTACCTACCTACACGTAAATACGACGCTGAATTTAAAAAGGGTGGTATATTAATAACAACTCAACTTTAATTTTTTTTTATAATTTCCTTCGATGCTGACCACTCTTCTAATACTTTTTTTTAATGAAATACGCCCTCTCCCTCACAAAGAAAAAGAACCACTGCATGATTAGGCATACCGCCTCTCCACTCCTACACGATTTCAAAAATATGTATTTTTGGCAAAAGAAAATACTGTTTAGTAAAAGGAATAAAACAATTTAAGAATATCTAATTCTTAAAATAAAAAAATTAAACAAATAAAAAAATAAGAATATCTTATTCTTGATAATACCCTGGTTTAATCTACATGTAAAGCACAAACAACACGTAATTGATTAGATGTAACTCCCAGTTGTTAAAATACAGAACATAGAAATTTAATTTAATAATTGAATTTAATTTAATAAACCTTGTGATCTCGTAGCAAAAATGGAGTATCTTCCAAAGGCTGCGGGTGTTAATTTGACTCGTTCTTGAAGCACCCCGACGGATATTTACAATTGTCGAGGATCTGTATTAGATTCACAATAATTAAAGCGCGTAATGAGGCTCTGTATTCCTACAATTACACTTAAAACTGCCCCTGTGCACTTGCTTTGAACAAGTAGGTTCAAAGCTTTCCGCCGCGGGCAGCAAAAAAAATAAAATGAAAATAGTATTTTAAAGAACAAATGTGTCATTTTCTCACACGATGACAACTGCGAGAAAACGTCTTATTAGATTAGTTCTTCATGCCAATTTTTAATATTTGCCAAAATTTCAAGAATATTTATCGAATTATAAATTATATTGCGATCTAGGGATTTTTTCTGCAGTTGGTAGTGCCAAATGTCAACATAACCTCAATTTTCAGATTGAGGTTAACTAACCAACAATAGGAAGTTTTAAATAATTCAAACATTTATTTGCGTATGAAACGCAAATGCTTATTATGATACGCAAGTGGAAAAAATAATGTTTTCAGTTTGGTTTAAAATGTGTTGTTTTTTGTTTTGTTTAGGTGTGGTTCCAGAACAGGAGGGCTAAATGGAGGAAGGCTGAGCGGCTCAAGGAGGAGCAAAGAAAACGAGATGGCCATGATGTAGTTAAAAGAGATGGGGACCCAAAAGAAGAAAAGGTAAGACAATTATGAAGGTTGGAGAAGGAACCAACTGTTTTCTAGAAACACGCTTTTATATTAAAAACTTACTTGTATATAACGATTTACAAATGTCACCAGTGTTGCCAGGTCTCCCATTTTAGCGGTAGATCCACCGTTTTTGGAACCAATCTCCCGTTCTACTGCTTTTAAAACACATCTTTCGCTTTTTTAAATCTCTTGAATAGCAAAATTCCCCTTCTTAAATATCAAATAATTTGAATCTAGGTTGCTAAAACCAAATATTGATATGACATGATTAATTGATTATATCATTCACAGATGGCTACGTCTTACGTTAAACCAATTAGAGCTTGTTCTGCATATCAAACACTGGTTGGTTTGACGTAAGACGTAAGCCGGTTTCTGCGACATTAAGTGTAGACCGAGCTTAAGGCATAATGTCAGTAACACTTGACAGTTTTGTACGTTTTGTTTGGAAGCAATTTTTTGTATAATTTTGTGTAATTTGTATAATTTTTGACATAAATTCCTCATTGCGAAATAGAGTTAATAACTTAATTTATGATTCAGATGAAATAATCCAATCATTACTTTTGACTTTTATTTGCGTGTTGACCTCTTCTTATATGGAATATTAATTTTGTTTTGTTTATCAAAATTTAAATTTTTTTGGTTTTCTGGGAAGAATTTAAAAACTACCGCTTTATTAAAAAGCTTTTTATTTTATTTTTACTTGTAGAACCACCCCCCAAAATACACTCAAGTGCAAAATAATCGATACACACAAATTTTCGATGAATTTCAATCGCAAATAACTTTTTTAATTGATGTCGGATTTAAACGAATATTAAAGAATATTGTAGATAAATTAATGGACAATCGCTCACATTTTAAAAAAATACTAAAAAATAGACGTAAGTTTATAATATACAGGTTTAAACAAAAATATGTTTTTTACCATAAGTTTAAGACACTCTGTAGAGTGGCAAAACCGTATATTGTTCTAAATTAAGTTTTATTAATCAGGTCACATCTATTTTTAACAGTTTTGTTTTTGGTTCACCTCGATATATTTATTTTTGTGGAAAATATGGATTTTTTTAAAAAACATTGCAATTTCCAATTCTTTTCTGTATGAAGAACTAAGGTTGCTATGGTCCATCCATATAGGCTATGGAGAATGACAGTGACAGTTTTGTTGAATCATCCCATACTTGGACATGTCATACACGGCTTTCAAAAGCTATCAAATTGTTTTTTGCAAATTAATGTTTAATTTTGAGGTGTCTTCTTACTTTATAAAATGGATATGTCTCCGACTGATGTTGCCAGAGCTATTAATTTAATCCAGGATGGACGGTCACAGTATTACGTGGCAAGTGTTTTAAACGTCACAAGAAGTAAAGTACAAAGGGCAACATCAGTCGGAGACATTTTTAAAAGTAAGAAGACACCTCAAAATTAACACATTAATTTACAAAAAACAATTTGATAGCTTTTGAAAGCTGTATATGACATGTCCAAGTATGGGATGATTCAACAAAACTGTCACTGTCATTTTCCATAGGCTATGGATGGACCATAGCAACCTTAGTTCTTCATACAGGAAAAATATTGGAAATTGCAATGTTTTTTAAAAAAATCCATATTTTCCACAATAATAAATATATCGAGGTGCACCAAAAACAAAACTGTTAAGAATAGATGTGACTTGATAAATAAAACTTAATTTAGAACAATATACGGTTTTGCCACTCTACAGAGTGTCTTAAACTTATGGTAAAAAACATCTTTTTGTTTAAACCTGTATATTATAAACGTACGTCTATTTTTTAGTATTTTTTTAAAATGTGAGCGATTGTCCATTAATTTATCTACAATATTCTTTAATATTCGTTTAAATCCGACATCAAATAAAAAAGTTATTTGCGATTGAAATTCATCGAAAATTCGTGTGGATCGATTATTTTGCACGTGAGTGTATATTAACGATATTTCTTGTATCTATAATATTAACAAATCAAATATTTATTTGAAATAACCCTATCTTCTTATCTAACTCTTAGATGGAAGATGGCACGGTAACCAGCTCGCCGGACGTCGTTCACGATGACGAGATTCGCGAGCGGGAATGTTCGTCCCGAAGCAGCGCCGGAAGAGAGTCACCGGAACCGACAAGAAGCGCCCCGGAAGCGGACCCTTCCAGTCCGTCGTCGCCCCACAGCCCGGCGCCCTCGGCGTCCTACGAGCCCCCCAGGCAAGCGACTCCGCCCGCTTTTAAGCACATGTTCCCCTTTGGAGATAGGTAAGTCACTTTTTTTCAAACACTGTTTAAAATATATGTGGTGTAAAGAGTAATCTTAAAATGGTGTCAAAATCCAACACCAAGTGGAGTTAATATAACACCATGAATTATGGTTGAAAATGTTATATACAGCAAACACCAAAACGGTGTTTATCTAAAAATATTTGAGAAGTGCACCTACACAGAAAAAAAGGAATAGTTCATTTAACTATATTAATTTAGTTGACCCATAAGTATTTATTTTTGTATTTTTTTTAATTTTTATCAACTGTGGGAAGGTTAATATAAACAAAGATTAGTCCGACGGTACTAAACCAGGTAGGTAGTTATTATTTTTTTTTTAATTGGTTAAATTAACCCAGAAAACTTTAGTGAAACCAACCCGCTGTATGGTTCACTTTACTAAATATGTTGTTTGTAAAATAAGAGTTACTTCAACCTAAAGCACTCTGTTAAAACGATTAAAACAATTTGCCGTGCATTCCCGGTTGCATAGTGTGTACCGATCGCGGCAAAGGCGGTGTGGATCACGTGATGTTCTTAAATCTCGCCTCTGTTGACTTACATGAAGAATATATAAGATCAGGTAGTCCTTTGCTTTGGTGTGACACTACAAGTTGTGCGATACTAAAGAGACCTTAAATAGGTGGAAACAGCTGTCAATACTAGAAGTATTTTAAGTTAGTGGAACGCACTAAAAACAATATCTCTAGCGATTTGAAGGTTTAATTTTCTGGAATAATACCACTGGTAATATACTAGTAATGCGTCAAGGAACTTCTTGTTTCCTTTTTTTTCCTTTTTTCTGTGTAGTATGATGTAATTTGACCACAAACACATAATATTTAACACTGAAAAGGAGTTCAATTTACACCAGGTAAAATTTATTTTAATACTGTGTGAAAGTTAAATTAACACTATTTTAGTATTTGAATTTACACCGGACCAACGAACCATATTTAAAACCATTTTGGTTTGTATCGATATAGATCGATGTATGGTGTTAAAATGGTCATGAAATTTTGAACAGTGTAGTATCCTATAATTATGGTCTTTACCCACGAGAATTTTCTTATTTTATTTCCGATCTTCTCCTTAACTTTATAGTGACCAAAACTGATATAGCAACTTCAAATGAGTGCACTGAGAGAAAAAGTGTAGTTTATAGTTAACAAATCTTTATTTGGATAGCATTTATTTCCAATAAATAAAGTAAATTTATTGTTAATCAACCTTTTTAACTATTAATAATCTGCGTAATATATTTTATTTAGCAGAAACAAATACTTTGTTTGTTGCCCATATGTTTATTATTAATAATGCAAATTTGGGAATAATAAATACCTATTTGCTTAGGCGATCTTTAAAAGTTATTTATTATAAATTTCGAATTTATTTTTAAGTAGGAATCAATATTAACAATGAATAAATATTTATTTCTTGTTTACTGTACTCAAACTTCTGTCAAAACGCACCAAAACAGCATAGACGTTTCTCGAATAGTGCATGGTGTACCGCGTGCGTATGGTGTACCACTTGCCTTGCCAAGTTTACTGATTCTGTTCTGTGTACTGTTAAGTTTAGTGATTCTGTTCGTTGCACTGTTATTTATCTATGCATTAGTGTTTCGTTTGCAATCTTTTTGTAATAGCATTAATTTAAATTGTACCTATAGTGCCAGTGTAAAATACCGGCTCTTTCCTGTGTGCCGGCTAGTGTATCTCTGCGATTATTAAAAAATCCAAACATGCATGGAAGATCTGCAAACCATGGACGAGCTATGCAAATTTTTATGAAGCAATGGATTCAACGACTTGCTGGATACATTTATAGTGAATTAAAGTATAGGGTTTACAAATGAAGTTTTATGTCTTCTAAATATTTTAGTATTTATTATAAACAAGCATTTATTTATCACAAATAAAACACATTTATTATAAATTAATCTTTATTTATTATAAACAAGCATTTATTTATTAACAAAAAAACATATTTATTATAAATTTTTCTTTATTTTTTAATAAAAAGATTTATTTAAACAATTTTAATCAATGCGTTGTTTGTCCTAAATAAATGTTCATTCCGCCATAATCGAATAAAGCATTTATTAGTTATTGATAAATCTAGTTAATTGTTAATAAACTGTTCTCTCAGTGTGGCAATTACGTTAAAATAATTAAATCTACCACGATACAGTAGAAAAATCTTCATATTATATTTGCACCAGCAGAATATACTTCATAGTTTTATAATTTTTTGGGGTATCAGTCTGGTATCTGAAATGTTATGACCACTTTTCATACCACCTTAAAGTTGTCTTAACTTTAAAGTGGATTATAAATAGTAAATGCAACCAAACCACATCACTTAAGTATTACTTAAACCTTGAATGTGGCAAAACTTGATTATGTAATTGCGGTGGTCATTGCCACGTTCTTGCTACATTCTTAAGTGCAGTTGAATAGTAAAATTACAAAATGTTGTATTGTATTGCAATTTGAATTTGAATTTGTTGTAATATTACATTTTGTTATAGCCAAAGTACTAAACAGGTTCCAATTTTACAATGTTTTTGTTTTTGTCATATACTTATAGTAATTTTACAATTCTGTATTGTAGAATTGAATTTGAAATTTTGTAAAATTTCTATACATATTCGGTAATAATTTTACTAAGATAATCAATAAAATTACCAACCAAAATTTACTATTTGAATTAGGTACAATAAGTGTTTGAAAATATACAAATCATTATTTATTTTAAACAGCTTCCATTTGCATTTTTACTATATATCATTTTAATCATACTGTTAAATTTTTTTGTAAAATTACAATTGTTTTGCAAAACAAAGGATGAGTAAAATTACAAATAAAAAATTATAATACAATTTGAGTAATCTTCCAAGACATGTTGGGAAATCTACTAAGATAAGTTGTAATTTTCCAATCTATATGTATAAATCCTACACGCATTGTTATTTTACTAAACAGTTTGACAGTTTCTAATAAAAATCATCTCAGATTTACAAACGTTATTCGTAATTGCGGCAATCACGTGATGTTCTTACATCTCGCCTCGTTTGACTTAGGTGGACAGCATATAAGCTCAGGTGTCGTTTTTGTGTGTTGGTTTAAGAAAGTTTCTTGAAGAAACTAAGAAAATTGCAGGTTTTTTTTCGTAGTATAATTACAATACCATCATTCGTAAATTACTAAATAATTTTAGTGTAATTTGTTGTACAAAATAACAATATTTGTATTGTAATATTGCAAAACGAAATTTCTTCAGTTCAGAAAAATTGTAAAGTATATTTTCTAATTTTCTTAAACTGAGTTACTGAATTGTATAGTATAATTACAATACAACATTTTAAAATTACTAAACATATTTAGTATTTTTTTTTAGCAAAATTACAATACCTGTTTAGTAATGTTACTAAACAAATTTTTAATAATAGCTTAGTGAATTTCCCAAATTGAGCTGTAATGAATCGAGTAGTGAATTTACAAAACTGAGTTTTATTATTACTATATTGTGGTGCGTAATTTGGTGATTACACCTATCTCAAAGTCTATCCGGGTCACACTGTATATCTCTTAATGTATTTGAAGTCAACATCCAAACCTCGATCCATCACAATAGAAACACCCCTATTAATTTAACACCGCAACAACAACTTTAACAAACTCGAAGATAATGTTAATTATAAAATAATTAATTTATACACCCGATAAATTAAGCAAAACACGCACAAGCAATTAACTAATTCCAAAAGTTGGAGACAGTCCACACGACACGTTGTGGTGACATCATGTGCCCTTTTTTAATTACTTTGTCGGCCGTTATGTCATGTTTATCAATTAACAAGTCGTCACCGTATGATATCGACGATAATAGGTGGTAAAAATCAAGGGAGGCATTGATTTTAGTGCACCGCCGTAAAAGGGAAGAGAATGCTTTATGGGCACTGTGCGCAAAATTTTTAACGCTTTATCAGTTAAATCTAGTAAACATATTTATTTTTTCTTTATTTTTGGAATGTTTGCGTCTTAATGAATCTCTTAATATGTAGAACACTTGTTTTTCTAAATTAAACAATTAATGCAGTTTATGGTGTGAATTAAAGCTAATTATAACTAAATTAGTGATGATGATAAATTCATTAGGTCACGTGTATCTAATAATATCTTTTAATACGAAAACAAGAATTTTAATTGTTAATTCTTCCAACAAAAGAATCTTCCACGAATAAGATTATGAAATTCTAAATTCAGCAATATGGGATGATAATTTTGGGTATTATAAAATTCAAAAGTTCGTGATTTAAAAATTTGTATTTCCAAAAAAATATAAGTATATATTGGTCTCGAGGTCTTGGGGTGTCGCAACCGACTACCATCTTTATTGTTGAGCACCAAATGGGTGAAAATAATAAAGGCCATTCTACACTCACAGGCAAAATAATCGATCCACACAAATTTTTGATGAATTTCAATCGCAAATAACTTTTTTATTTGATGTCGGATTTAAACGATTATTTAATAAATTAATGGACAATCGCTAACATTTAAAAAAAATACTAAAAAAATAGACGTACGTTTATAATATACAGGTTTAAACAAAAAGATGTTTTTTACCATAAGTTTAAGACACTCTGTAGAGTGGCGAAACCGTATATTTTTCTAAATTAAGTTTTATTTATCAAGTCGCATCTATTCTTAACAGTTTTGTTTTTGGTTCACCTCGATATATTTATTTTTGTGGAAAATATGGATTATTTAAAAAAAACATTGCAATTTCCAATATTTTTCTGTATGAAAACTAAGGTTGCTATGGTCCATCCATAGGCTATGGAGAATGACAGTGACAGTTTTGTTGAATCATCCCATACTTGGACATGTCATACACGGCTTTCAAAAGCTATCAAATTGTTTTTCGCAAATTAATGTTTAAATTTTGAGGTGTCTTCTTACTTTAAAAAATGGATATGTCTCCGACTG